TGGTATATCTCTAATATAGATAAATATATTTTATCTTACAAAATTTAATCTGTATGACACTTATATTGAATGTAAGCGTTTCAAATGTAAATTGAATACATTTGAGATTATGAGTTCTCTCAAACTTATTTGAGTTCAACAAACCCAAAAAATATTGTTTTAGTATGTAAATTTTTTTAAATAAAAAAATCAAAGAAGTAATAAAAAGTGAAAATGATGATTTTTGAAATTCAACCATTAATGTTTGATTTGTAAAGTTGTACGTTTATAACAAAAATTCAACTTTAATTATAATAATATGGATACGATTAAACGATATAAAAGAAAATAATTGTATGATCAATCACATATGGTTACTAAATGAACATAAATACAATTTTTATAAAATAATTAACATCGTTAAATGATTCATCGTTAAAACATTACACACTATAACATTTATTTATTAAAATGCTATATGTTATCTGGATTTAAATTAGTAACATATGTATTTGCGAGATCATGTTAAAAACTAATGTAAATATGTAGAAATGTCTAACATTGCATATAGAATTAATTAGAACGTTTTGATTGGTTAATTTAATTGATGTATCCATAAAAATCTTCATTGAATGACACATGATTTTTCACTTAGTGTCTCCTTGATTGGTATAGCTTTTTGATGAGCAGTAGCATAATGCAGCATTAGCAGTAAGCACCTGGAGCAGTATGCTCTGATTAATATACACATTTAGCTGATTGGTTGAGTTGTGAATGATTAGATATAAAATTAAAATAAATTATTTTATTTTACTTATTCATATGTATTCTAATACATTATATATATATATATTAGTCATAAGTTATAACATCAATTTTTATTTTTTAATTAAATTATTATTTTATTATAATGCTATTTCACAAATAATATGGCAAATAAACTAATGGTATATATTAAGTTTTCATTTTAATATAAATAAAAATATGTTTAAGAATTATAAATTTTAATATTTAAGCTATATTTTTATTAAAATTTATTTAAAAATAATAGAACATATAAAAAATGATAAATATTAATATATATATATATATATGTTTTATAATTACAGAAATTATGTATATTTACTTTTATTGAAATGCTTGTATATCTTATATTTAGAAATTATAACATAAATTTCTTTTATAATCTTTTCGAATTTAATTATATTTAATT